AAGGGGAAGGGCCGACTAGAGAGCCAAGATGATGTAGTGGATAATTTCCACGCGCTGGTCGTGGACCCTATGGATCAGCTCCTTGAACGAGCCGTAAGGAATGCTCCTTTGCCCGTAGTTCTGCTCTCGAAGAGCGAATATTCATACGCTTCTGTTAGGATATTTGTTTGGACGAGTTTCTGGGACGCTCAAAGCCTCCTGCCATCGCTGTGAACCCTATCCAGCCCGTTGCTTCGAAGGTCAGCTATTTTCAACCGTGTGACTACCAATCACTCTCAGAGAGCTTCAGGCAAAGAAGTCAAACGCACCCCAAGGCCGACTTGATCCAGCGCTGCAGCACGCTTCCAATCTCCCCAAGCCACAACTGCAATTCAGGCACAAAGTAGACAACAGTTATCACACACTATGGAAGCCCACACTTCAACATAAGTATAATGCCCAGGTACCGCTAGGTTACATCTTCCGAGAGGAAAACAGCGAAGGTGCTCCTGCGCTTAACGTGTGCGTACAGTCCTGGCTTCCCGTTCCGTTCTAGACAAACAACTTTGTTCAGTCTTCACCCATACCGCTACGAGATCAAGCACATTTCCTACCCTTCACGAATGTTCACCCAATCTCCGCCAATCTCTCCGCGCTCTTTCGCCGACACGCCTTTCACCTGGGTGAATGACTCGGCTGCATTCACGAACATGTTGGACAAGCTCCGATCCGCGCGCGAGATCGCAGTGGATCTCGAGCATCACAGCTATCGCACGTATAGCGGGTTTGTGTGCCTTATGCAGATCAGCACTCGTGACGAGGATTGGGTAGTTGACGCGCTTGCTGTTAGGGATGAGATGGAGGCGTTGAACGAGGTGCTCACGGACCCAGCGATTGTGAAGGTATTTCAAGGCGCTTTGCGTCCCATCGAAGTACTGATAGCGCATCATCAAGGTATTGCATGGTGCAGAGAGCGATATCATCTGGCTGCAACAGGATTTCAATCTTTATATCGTCAATCTCTTCGATACGTACCATGCATCTAAAATATTGGGTATAGTTTCTGGTTCCCTTCTACTTTTCCACTCGCTGATCTTCGCCCTAGAATTTCCCAGACACAGCCTAGCAACCCTCTTGGAGATGTACTGTGACTTCACTGCTGATAAGCGATACCAGCTAGCGGACTGGCGCATTAGGTCCGTCAAGACTTGTTGTCTATCGGAGTTTGACTAATATGTTTTAAGACCTTTGCCTGAGGAAATGCTTGCCTACGCTCGTTCCGACACACATTTCTTGCTTTTCATCTATGACAATTTACGTAACGCACTCATCGACCGCGCGCAGTCGCGGCCTCATTCCCGCTCCCAGTCCCCCTCCGCTGTGGTCACAAGCCCATCCTCTCACCCTACGAACCAGGCCCATGCACTCGTCCGCGAAGTGCTCTCACGTTCTGAGGATACTGCCCTCCGAGTGTATGAAAAAGAAATATACGATGCAGACAGCGGTGCTGGTCCAGGCGGATGGGACACCCTCGCGCGCAAATGGAACAAGGGCGTGCTCATGGCGGGCGCCCCTGAGGGTGGACCGTACGCGGTTCAGCGCACAATTTACCGGGGTGTCCATGCGTGGCGGGACAGGATCGCACGGGAAGAGGACGAGAGCACTAGGTGAGTTGGTATCTTGACGTCGCCAGTTCAAGGCTGACTGTCGTTCTGGAGATATGTTCTCCCGAATCATTATCTGTTCGTCCTTGCGGAGCGACCTCCGGCTGATATGGCCGCCCTGCTATCTCTCTTGCATCCTGTGCCTCCTGTTATTCGTCGTCGATCGAAGGAGCTGTTGGATGCTATACGTGCAGCTATCGCTAGTGTTGCACCGGTATCGATGACAGTAGCGGAGGAGGCGAAGACAAACGTCCTCGCAGCAGCGGATGGCTTGACTATAGCAGACGATGACATGCAAATTGATAAGAATGCGTCGTTGGCGACAAACCTCGCGGCTGACAGTGCTCGGACCTCACTCTGGTCTCATGGTATGTTATATTGTACCTTTTGAGACGTGATCTTTTTTTTTAATTAAAAAAACTAACTATGGTCCTGTCCTTGCCTTATCACATCCGCAGTCTCTCGTCCCCCGGCCGCCACCATCTCTTCAAGCCTCTTCGGAGATACTCTTGTGACGCGAGTGAATATCAAGCACACGACTGAATGTGCTGCGCCTAGGAGTGCGCTGTTAGGCAATGCACCGCCAGTAAGTTCCCTCGTATGCTATGCATTCAATTGTTGGTCTAATAAATTTTCAGCCAAGAAGCCGGACCTCAGACCAAGCACGATTCCTTGAAGTGGTCGCACGCATTCACGGAACTCTGGTGATCGCGCCGTCTGTGCCTAAACTCGCAGCCACTGCGCCTTCTTCGGCAGCCGGATCGTCGTCTGGTGCTCGGACCGCTCCGGGCCCCGACTCGGACGAACGCAGGACAAGCTCCGAGAAAGGGACGAGTGCGGATGAAATCCCCTTTGTGCCTGCTGCGCAACGTCAGCAGGCCAATAGCGCAGTCGTGGATGATTCCATCGTGGTTGTAGGCCAGGCCAAGCCACAGAAGCGAAAGAGGGTCGGAAAGGGTAAAGGCAAGGCCGATGGGTCGGAGACACCAGGCGCGGAGGACGTGATGCCGTTTGATTATGGCGCGGTGTCGAACATTCTGGACGAGGGCTCTGAGCCAGAGGCGGAAGAGCAAAGCAGTCGGAAGAAGAAGCTCAAGAAAGGTGTGTTTTGTCTGTCCTGGGGCCGTGTCGAAGTGGTGCTGACATGATGCCTTGTCAGGTGCGGTGGCATACCAGTACGGCGACTTCCCAGCACCACCCAAAGCACACAGCCAACCAAAAAGCGGGAATGTATCCCGCACATTTAGATAAGCTGGGAATGGCGCGCGTGGGTTGTGTAGTTCTGAGCACGGTCGGAGGTGGCGAATGCATAAGGTCGTGCGACGTTTGCTGCGCAGTGCGTAGTATCTGATAACGACGAATAGATCTGAGTGCTTAGTCAGCGTGTGCCTGAGTCCGAATGCAACCGACTTGCGAGGCTGGCTATATTCGGCAGTGATGATCGGGCTGGTCGTTGCGTTTGGGGGTGTGCTCGCTGTGGCTGACGGCGACAGGAGCAGCGCACACGACTTGCTCTTTCCCCCGACAGCTCCTGCTCACGGCGGGCGGTGTGCATCAGCGTTTAAGAGCGGTCCCGCCCATCTGACGGTCGTTACAGATTGTATCTGCCGGGCGTCCTGCTGCGGCGGCTCCGTCATCTGGGGACAGCACCCGGCTCTTTAGGTCCATTCCATTCTTTCACTCCACCGTGCTTTCTTGTCGCTCTCTCCATGCTCGTGCGCGGCCATGCGCATCCGCTCCTCCAACTATATTCCCCTCGTCCAGTATCCCTTCACGTCCCCGAGAAATGCTGTCACCGAACTCACCACTACCTTCTGCCTACGCAGACGCGTCCTCTATGCCGCACTCTTCACCACCTCGGTCTTCACCCTCTTTTACCTGCTCAAGTACAGCTTCAGGGACATAGACGGAGACCTCGAAGATCTCGAACTGATTTTCCCTATAGATGCCATCCCTTCCCTGCCAACCTCCTACCTCCCTTTTCGTGTCCCATCGCCACCGCCGACATCGCAGAGCACCCTGGTTAAGCCTGTCCTAGATCTTCCCGCTACGTGTCTGGATGCTTACTACGTGCATGGTGATGCGTGCTCCTCTCCGCTGCCACCTAAGCTCGATCTCTTATGGACCTGGGTGAATGGCTCCGATCCTCTTGAGCAGCAGGCTAAGATGGACGTCCAGGCGTCTTATGGTCCGACCAACCCATGGCGTCCTGCAACTTCTAGTACACAGGCCAGGCTCTATCGCGACCACGATGAGCTGCGACATTCCATGCGTTCGGTGCTTGCCAACTTTCGCGACTATGCTGGGCATTTCTTCCTCCTTACATCCGACTTCCCCATTCCTGCAACGACACCGAACCTCGCGTTCTCGGCCTCATGGCGCCTCGGACAGGTCCCACAGTGGCTAGACTTGTCTAAACAGACCACGGAAGGCTGGCTGGACGGTGACGTATCACTCCAACTTGTGCACCATGCAGAGATCTTCCGACCGTACGACCGGACGAACTTCAATAGGTGCGTATTCCATTTGGTGGTTACCTATTTGACATGTAATCAATCAGTACAGTCTCGCGATAGAGTCGCAGCTAGGACACGTAGGAGCCATTTCTGATAATTTGTGAGTTTTCTCCTGCTCAATACATCATACACACATATTCACGCCATCTATAGCATATACATGGTATGTTTTGCATCACTCCTTGAATGCTTTCTCCGTTTACACACTCTGCACAGAACGACGATCTTTATCTCGCAAGGCCAATGAGCCCAGCGTCCTTCTATACGTCTGGTATGAAACACCTTATACAATATAAAGTTATCCCTTAACACAAATAACAGCATATGGTATTGTCCTTCACCTGCAGTCCGATCTTCTCGTTTCGCCGGTCAAGCCCACCGCCCGAATGCAAGGCGAATGGCGCAGTATGGGTGAATCCAACTACCTGCTCAGTACGTCTGCCCCTCCACATTGTCCTTCTCTCACCTCATCCGTCGCCATTACAGGCGAGCGCTTCGGCCGGCGACACCGGCCATATGTCGTGCACGAAGCGAAGACCGTCTCCTCCGCACTCCTCGCCGAGGTCGAGCAAATGTGGCCCGATGCCTTCTCTCGCGCGGCGTCGCACGCCTTTCGCGAGACTGCAGGCCCTGGGAGCCCGGGGGATATCAACACGCTCTTCCTCCACACGCACTTTGTCGTCGAGCGTGCGCGAGAGGCGCTGCTGTGGACGTGGGCTGTTGCGCGCGTGGGCGGGCTCAACGACGAATGGAGAGAGGCGGAGGCGCGCCGCGCGTGGGAGGAACTTGGCGGGACGTGGGAGGTTGCGGAAGGCAAGAAGCGGGAACTGAACGTTCAAGCCGGGAGGAGGGAGACGCTGGAAACGGAGAGGATAAATGCGACACTGATACAGTCGGGCGTGAAGGATGGTTTAGGGAAGACCACGTATGTATTCTGTGAGTATATCGCGCATCTGTCTGACTATATTCTCCACTGGATGCTAACCAATGCTGCGTCCTGATAGCCTCCATGGACGGGTTTGCCTATGCGACGCTAGGGGTTATCGGGCAGCCCAAATTCCCCGCTTTCACGCCTGATATACCTGAACGAAACTTGCCGAGGTGTTTCATCAGTTATGACGAGTGTTTTGCCGGCCACTCGAAGGCGAGCGATGTGTTCAAAAATGTCGCATTTGGTAACCCGAAATGCGGCGATTGTGGTAAGCTAATCCCTGGCTACAAGACAATCGTATCTCACCCTTTGTGACAGTCATCTCTGCTCTCGTGCGCTCAAGCGGGCCGCTTGGCCTCTCTGCTTTTCTTCCGCCTCCAGATCGGATGCTGTCCTCGATTGCTGGTAAGGTTCCCTTTCTCTCGACTCCTGGGGAAATTCCGCATCTTCCGCTCGCTGGCAAATGGGAGGATGGGGATTTTTCGCTTCGTGCGGTCATGAGCGCCGCGCGTTTCCAAATGGTGCGTACATGGGCCTTGCAGCTTCTTCAGCGATACCGCTACGTAATCGGTGCGCACGTCTGTTTCCTCTCCTCTGGTGATTGCATTCATCTGCGTCTGACAGGAACTACCCCATCCATGTTTGAGCGCCTCACGAGCCCGAAGCAGGCTTGGTCCGTCCTGAATAGGATTGAGAAGAACAAAGACGCCGCGTTCCTCTGCATCAATGACGACGTGGTCAACGGCGATGCGGAGGTCGCGACGGCGTTCCGCACATGGCAAGGCCAGCGTTGGCGCGTGCCCGCGACCTGGGAGAAGCCTACCGAGCTAGAGCCAGTTCCGCCTCCGCCTGAAGCGCCGCCCCAGCCTCCAACGCAGCCAAGTTCATCATAGTGTTCACCATGGCGGCTGTAGTTGCCATATATCCTGTGTTCAGTCTGTAAATTCGGATCTGGATGGGTTTGGGTTCTGTTGGGGCTAGCGGGAAATGGTGTGGGCGCGCACCTGCATTGCAATAGTGTACATGTAATTTATATCATCATACGCTGTCGGGGCTAGTGCTGTTGGTTTAGTTTACGCTGTATCCATTCTACTGCGTCGTTTCCTTTGCTTGTTATGGAGCGCATTCCAGTTGCAGCACCGTGGCAGCACAGTTGCGTGTTGACGCTTCTAGCCGGCTCGCGCGTGTTCGCTAGAGCCTGGAATGCTTAGCAACTTCCTTATGCGCGAAGGATGTTGGTCTAAATATGTCGGCTGCCTGGCCGTGGCCATGGAGTGTCACCTCTAGGTCATTAAGCCATTTAGGATTCATCAGGATTATGAACCTGCATCATTGGGGCCGTGAGTATCGAAACATGCCATCAAGTGCCAGCCCGTAGTGGCTGACGACGCCGTTACAAAGGCAAGCTTCAGGTTTTTTCCCGCTACGACTTCGCTATGTAGCACCATATGGGTCGGAACACCATCTGCACGGAATCCTCACTTAGTTTCCCAGCACCTTCTCGCTTTTCGGAAGAACTGTCACGAACTATGTCGGACACCCTCACGCTTAACTACCTGGTGTGGGGCGAAGCTTTTAAATTCTCTTTTCCCATCGGCATTGCAAAAACAAAGAATGTCGCTGACCTCAGTCGCGTCATAAAGGAGGAGAGCTCTCCACGATGTGGACACTGCCACGCTTGCTCTTTACAACATGTCTGGTGCCATTTTCTGTGATGACGAGACCTTCAATCATTTCATCCTCTCCCAATTATAATCACCCTTGCGATGTTCGCGGCGACTTTCTACGATATATGTATCGCATTCGCCAGAGGATCACATGGATTCTTGTCTGTGGTTTTTTGGACGTTGCCCGCCAGATGCGAGGCGGAATTCCTCAGGCTGGCTTTCCAATTCGGATCCGGTAAGATGAGAGTGTCTTGTCGCTCATAGGTTGGATCTATGAACGAATGAAAGGTTGCGTTGAAGCCAATTTACTCTGCTACCGCATCTTCAAGATTGCTACGGACAGACTTGTACTTCAGGAGACCCCTGATAGTGTGGCAGAGGATCAACTCCTAGCCCATAAACAAACGCTGTTTGAGGCATTCAAAGATTTATCTGCGAGTGAGCAACCCAGCATTGTTATTGAAATATCCGACGACGGTAAGTGACTGCATGGTCTTATTGGCCCGACGGATTCATGGAACACAGTCTCATTGGATATTAAGCGAAAGCATGAGGGAGATGAAGGCACCGCGAAGCGTCGGAAGTTCTACGAAGGTGAGAATGAGATACACTTATTCTTATATGCATTTACGACATTGAGCTTAGATCAAGAACATGATGCTGCGATGGCCCGTACAGCTCTTCTCCCTTCTTCAGCTGCAGCAATGCTGGCATTTAAGAACGAGCAAGAGAAATGGCCAGTCCTCAATGGTCGCCCATATGATCAGTTTGGTCCTCCCATTGGCCTCTTCCATCTTGTTTTCAATTCTTTCCATGCCGCCATGAACAGTCCAGAGCGCTTTCATGCCGACGAAGGGACGTATACTTCTATCAAAGCCCTTTTTAAAGCCTCCGCTGGTCTTTATAACACCAAGGACGAGCGGATTACAGCGATCGATGTGCCTTTGTTTGCTCTCCTCGGGCGCCGATTCTCTATCGTGGAGGGACAAGGTGTCAAAAGCGACGGGGTGATACTACAAACATGTGGCGGTCCGACAGCATATGTGGCAGTACGAGAGATCAAGAATAAATTGGGAACGGCCAACGCGGATCCCTACAACCAGTGTAGTCTTTCTTATCTCAAATACTGGGCAGGAGAACCTCGTAAGTAGGTCAGGTACGTATCTATACAGAGCTAATTGATGACTCTACTAGAAAATGCCCTCAGAGCTAGATGCTACTGCCCTAGCGTCCTGCTAGGGATTGCAGGTCCATGGCTGAGTGTCTTTGGTGGTATCTACCTTCGAAAGGCGGTCGTCCAACGTCTAACGCAGTATGTCTGGCTTGGTGGCGACTCTTTCGCCGAGGCCGAACTGCTCTATGTATCGCGACTCTTTGCTGCCTTGAAGACCGCCATTTTCACCCTCGAAACCTACTATCGATCTCTCGAACCAAGTCTCTTCTGCCCGCGTCGACATGTGGCCCCTTTCCGTTTATTCAAGAATTTGAGCCGACGACGTTCACGTATTTGGCACGCCTTGCGCCAAGTTATCCCTGAAAACTACTATACAAGGCGAAGCTTGACTACTCTGGTCATCTCGTGGTTGTGAAGTTTGTGTCAACATATAATGCACAGGCTCACCGTATCCTGGCTGATCGTCAAATGGCACCATTTCTGCACTACGCTGGTACAGAGGATCCGCGATCACCACTGTATAGCGGATGATACATGATCGTGGTGGGCTTTATTGAGGAAGGGCCGCCGAGGAGCTCCCTCTCCAAACACCAATTTGAACAGGTCAACAAAGCGATCGAGTTGCTGTATTCGTCCGATCTTGTGTTCGGAGACCTTCACGAACCCAACGTTTTGACCAAGAATGACGCTGCGACGATCATCGACTTTGATTGGTGTGGAAAGGCAGGGGCAGCGCGCTATCCTGTTTTGATTGGTCAACGGGTGTAAAGCCAGATTCTGTTATGTTGAAGGAGCATGATTTGTCCATGTTGGAAAAGCTGCGACCCTTGTAATCGTAGAAATACTCGGTGTAGCGTTTAATTGGTGACAATCGGCCTGCATCTCCTGACGCTGCATGCGGTACATAGACGAACAGAACGCGATATATACGGGGTCCGACACGAGATAGGCTGTATAATATTCAAGATGCGCCTTGAAATGTCAATTTCAGCGGAATCGAAGCACACATACTACGTTGGCCGCACATCTAATAAAGCATTGAGTCGGTCAGGTTTAGTTGCAAGGAACGAAAGCAAATATGGATCAGAACAACGCAAAGCACACGAATGTGCATACGGAAGCCGAACGTTGATCAATCCTCTTCCTGAAGGCAGCCATACTCGTCAAGAGAAGTAGACTGCCCTCCGAAGGGTCATATGGCCCCGGTAACTTTTTGTCATTCTGCGTACGCACAGGCTCGGCATAAACACTCACTAGCACGAGAATCCTGCAATTAGTCTTCACGAAAGCTAAGGTAAGGAACACTTTATATCGAATACAATTTGGCTCACTCATCCTCATCTCCGTCAGTGAGCTCATCTCCGTCACGCAGCCCACCGTGTCTATGATAGCCAGGTTTTCGCGCCCATAAGCGTCCATCGGTGTATGGCTCTATACGGAAGGGGAACAAGAGAGTGTATATCGGACTGGAGGGAAGAGTACCGAGTTATTGGCTATCGGTGGTTCGCACAATGGCGCCGCTTGTTTTTGGGATCCCGTTTATTGTCCGCGAGGGCCTGGCCCTATGTAGACATTAAGTACAGTTTTCATGTCAATACTACTTGTACGGTATCTGAACATAGACATTGGATGCGGCCTGATATGCAGGGCGCGCATTGAGGCGAAAGCTGCGGCACGCTAAGTCGCCGAGAAGTCAGTAAATGCGTGTACAGGAAAGGAAGAGAACATAGTACTATGATAACTGCACCGGTGTGAGAGAGGATTGAGCGCGGGAGTCGACTATTGCCTTTCTGCGCGGGAGTCGACTATCGCCTTTCTTGAGCCAGGAGCCTCTCACGATGCAGGCCCGGAGATCAGCTACTCTTATTGTATCCCGTACTGCAGATTGTTCGATACTGTCTGCTCAACTTCGTCCGATACTCTAGCAAATCCGACCACTGCGACTTGACAACCGATGCGACTTGGAGATGCGACTATTGAGCGAGTTTCAAAGCTAACACGAGACACTTTAAGCCAGAGAAGATTCGATACATTTTCCAGCCCCAAGTGTTCGTACTTATACACAAACGCTGCCAAGAGAAACTACCTATTACATCACCTCGTCACCGAGCTATCCTTGATTGTACACTGACTGGATACCAACTAAAGTAATAAACTTGCCTAATTCGTTCTGGAAGCCGCGTCATCGGCACAGACGTCGTCGCCGAGTCGTCGATGCTCTCCCGGGATCGAGCAATGACTCGAAACTGCCGCAGCGATGAC